TTTTTTTTATAAAGTAATTTCGGAGACTATACGATGCAAACAAACTAATGATTTGTATTCAAATTTCGTAAATGCCCGTGCAAATCTGCGTCTTTTTGGGTATTTGACGTTTTTCGAATTTGTGTGTATTCATAGTTTGGTTGATATAGCTTAGGCACTGGTATACCAAAAACCTATGAAAACTATACCGCCGGACATGTGACATTAACATTATGCTGCACACAATCTAAAAAGTCAAACATGTCCCGCTAAAGACGGATAGATGGCAACCCTAGACAGGCGGCAATGTTAAAGTTTGAGCCTAAACTTCTAGTTGCCTAGTACCGAGGTGATCAACATTTTATTGTACAAATTAAAAAAATTGTCGCAGGACATTATTGCAATTAATTTTTTTACATACGTACGTAAGAACATAATACGTAACGTACATAACGTGAAACAGTTTGAGCGACACTACCGGAGTTCAGAATGGTAAGTGTAAGTTTTACGCTAACGCGTTCACTAGAGAGCGCGTTAAGAATTTGTATGGAGATTTGTACTTCTTGGTAGTTACCGCTAGGGGCGCTCTTACGGATTCCATTCTAAAATATTAACGCGCTCACGATCGACAGTGAACGTAAACGTCAAAAAAACGTACACTAAGCGTTCTGAAGAGTCCTTTTTGTCAATTAAATATCGCTGTAGAAAATATTGTCTAGGTAAAATAGTTACGGAATTGTTAATTGACAAAGATTTTGTAAATTTTTATTGTTGTTGAGTACATGGTTGTATTTTTAGTGTTTACAAACTTAAACATTGTTAATGTTTGGTAAAGACTAGTTTAAGTGAGAAATGTGATATACTTTCACGCTGCACCGGCATGCAAAAGAGCATGCTTGGCTCGTCTGTAGAGAGGAAGTAGCATCGACTATCATAAGACATCGCTAAATAAATAAATTAATGTATTTCGTGGGCCGTAGTAATCTGCACACAATCGACATACCTGTTTAAAATTTTAACTCATACACCTTTTCTATTTTTAACTATTTTTCAAATAAATAACCATTTGTTTGTTAGCTGTGTCGGTCGTTATAGGGCTTTTTCTATTTAAGGAAAAAGGTAAACAGTACATAATAAAACGTCTCATTCATTTTCATTTCTTACAGCATTAAAATAGTGAATCCTATACTCTGATTCTAAAATTCAGTTGAATAGCCCACAGTAATAAAATAGATAATAAATTAAAATCCGTACCAAATGTTTACTTCTACCGCGCGCGACACACAAACACGAACGATAATGTTTTGTTTCTTTCTCTTTCTCCCTTTCCCTCCCTCTCTATCTCTATCTTACGTCATTGTACACTCGGGGGATAAAGTGAATTTGTTTTAGGCTCGATTTTACCGATTATGTATTTATTTCTCTTACGTATTTAAATACCTAAACAATAAAAAATATTTTTAGGGGTTAAGCTAATGAAGTTATTTCTTAGCACCCGTTTTTTTTTATAATTATTAATTGTTAGCAGTTTGATAAAACTAGGGCTTTTGACTAGTGAAATATAAAAAAACTTCAGTTATTGAGAATATCCAGTTGAGATTTTGTACTTTTCTCAATTCAGAAAGCGGCTCTTTATCAACATTTTTTCTTGCTTTTAAGATACCTAAGTGTAGTGCATATCATTTACTCTAAGGTAGCAATCCACTTTACTTGACACAATTTACATGCAGTAAGAGTAAGTGGTTGAAACCATAATCGGGAATGATCATATTCCCGATTAAGGTTGATATTCCATTTTAAGTCTGATCTTTTTATTGTAAAAATATTAGAAAAGAAATAAATTGACATTAAACGTGTACACAATTGAAATGTGTACACGAATATTGATCAATGTTTAAATTTATTCCCCGACTGTATCTGCGCTGACGTCATATTAGGTTTACTTTCGTTACAGAAGATTGTAGGTACGAGTACCAGGTTATCATGATTTAAAGACACGAGGTGTAAAAATTCTGTTTCAAAGATGAAGCAGCTACAGATAGACAAAGTTACCTGGAAGAGACTTAGTGATATACGTCTCCTACTTTCATAATATTGTAATTATTTTCATAAAAATGAAACTACCTATTATGAAAAAAAATTGTTCGTGCAGTAACGAATATTCTACTCATCTAGAGGTCGCGATATTTCTTCTTCCTCTGCTTCTGTATTTGTTTAGATTAGATGAAATTGATTTTATGAGTACATTATTGAGTGACGTGTCGTACCATTAATTATAAAGATTGTTATTTTGGAGGGGCCGTTCTACAGTTCGTAAAGAAATATTGTACGAGCATTACAGGCGAAAGTATTTAATCCAGTGCAGTGAACATAGTGTACTGTTTATCGTTTGTTTCCGTGTCTGATGTGTGCGTAGCACGGTCATAGTAATATGGCAAGGTATAATGGAAAGGGAGCTCTAATCTGAATAAAAACGAATTTTGGAAAAAGTTTTAAAATAATGTTTTCGTGTAATATTTTGCATGTTCGAATATTTGCGTATGTCCACATAACTAGAAAAAATATTTCGCTGTACTGTGACGTAGGCACTAAATACCAGTAGATATAACCAGTCTGGCAAAGTAATAGTCTTTGATTTAGAAGTCAATGAACTGAAACAGCTGATCATAATGTCGGTGTGCTTCGATAAATGGTATCGAAAATTTTGCTAAACATCGATATTGTTTTTTTCAATAAATACAATGGCTACGATATTAAGGACAGCGTCCATTATCTCAGTTTTATGTATACTCAATGCCATTTTCGGGGTAACGGGTTTTTTTGTAACACGCGGTATAGTAGGACAGAATGATATGGAGACTTATTACAATCACAATAAATCTTACGATTAACAAGGACGCTATGTGTGAAGAAATCTTCACGCATTTACATTTATACCTTTACTAATAAGAAAGTTATAACCGTTGTTTATTTTTATATAACTCTGTTAACATCACTTCAAAGTAACTTTCAGTTCGAGTGAAAAATACAAAACAACGCTTATTCATTGCTTATAATTAATTTTGTAATATACATTAAGCTCTAACATAAAAATTAAGTAGTTCTACTTCCACTTTTCACACGTAAAAGTTATTTTTATAACATAAATATACATATTAGGTTTCAAGAGGGCAGTTTTTATTTAAACTGAAGAATAATAATCTTAATATTAAAGTAACGCAGAAGTCGATACACATAATATTTTGTGCCCTAGAAAGAATAGTTAAAATAAAGTCATAACATGGGTAAAAGATTTTATTTATTTGTATTTTCTCTAACTAAAATGTCACGAAAAATATTTTTGTATAAAATTTGCCAAGCCGAAACCATAGAATAGACCAGAATAGAAAATTCTTTATTGTTAAACATAACATAATTTACATATTTAAAACAATTTTAAAAAATAATGTTACCCGAACAAAAAAGAAAATAATATGCCACCTTGGGGTACGCCAGTTTTCGTGTCACACCATGAAGAGAAATTCTCATTACGGCGGAGGCCGTTGCCTGCGCCTATATAGATAACTGTGAAACCAATCAATTACCGTTGGAGATATATTAAGTAAGTGCAGCAGGACAAGAAGTACAGACCGTATTAAATGCGTTGCTGAAGTCCAATAATTTTAGTACTATACTGTCAAATGGCCATTTTCCATAGCAAAAAGAATATCGTCAGTAACTTTCACAAGAGAAGTTGTAGTGCTATGGCCAGATCGGAAACCGGACTGGTGAGGATTCATTCGGTTGTGGCGAGCAATATATATACTGAATTGTTGATGAACAAGACGCTCCACGACTTTTGGAAGAATATATATAGTACGGAGTTCGTTAAGAAATTTGGAATGACTAATTTCGGGTAAAGGAATAATTTGAGCATCCTTCCAAGATAAAGGGAATGTGAAATTAGAAATGGAATTGTTGAAGAGAAAAGTGAGGACAGGTAGGATAATATAAAGGAATGGAACAAACATATTGCGACTAATACCGTCATTAAAAAGGTATCAGACCACGTGCAGAGCCAAGCTTTTACACCCTAAAGGTATAGAGTTTAGAAATTATGTTTTGACTAATCAAATGCCGGGGCCGTGTCGCTACTGTTAAATACATAAATATTAAATAAATAAATATTGAACAACAACTCAGATTCCAAGATGAGTAGCTAAAGACAACGAAAGTACCACAACACACAGACCCGTGACAATATAGAAAAGTTCATTTTCTCCAATGACCCTACCGGTCTCAAACTTAAGTTGTAGATACTTTTATTTACCTAAAAGCAAATATGGAAAAATAATTTAACATATCTGAAGAATAGTAGAAAAGCGTAGTTAAAGAAAAAGAAATGATTTCGACCATGAGAATCAAACACACTGAAAATATAATAGATTTGTGATTTCTCTAATATTTTTAGTCTGATCTGGAATATCTATTAGAATACCAGCATATGAACTTACTTAAGACATCCTTTTCCTCTACTTATAAGTTATATAAAATAGCAACATACTAATGTAAACCACACACGCTTAGTACTTCTCGTAAAGAACGCCATATCCGTTGTCTGTATGCTGAGATCTTGTGAACTACACGACGGATTCTAATGCAGTTGTCACCCATATACAGAGTGATTCTAGAGAAATTTTTATATGTCTAATACAGGATCACGCGGGCAAAGCCGCTGGTAATATTTAAATAAATAAAAAACAATAATAATTTTCAATTGACTTTGCACATAATTTTGCGTATTTTCTGACAAAGGATGACTTCCCTTTTAAAAACTCATTGGTATATAACTACCATTTTGCCGATAACTGCATCTTTTTAAATATAAATCTGTATTAAATATATACTATTTTTCAAAACAACAATCGATATAATTACACCGCGTACTACAATTCTATTAAAGCTAACTCTGTACCACTATGGTTCTCTTTCGCAAGGCATTGTCGATGGGTGAATATGGCGAGTGCGAGTGGGACGCCAGATCATTTGCCGGTCCACTCGCTTATCCTTCCGTTTTCGAAGACGAGGTTCTTCCGTGGCAGTGGTACTAAGGTGCCCCGTTTTACGATACCCATATCTTCTCCCGGGTAATACTACGAAATGAAATACAAATATTGAATTTGAAAATCAGACTACTCAGCGGGCGTATTTTGAAACTAATTAAAGATATACGAACAGCAATTTTATGAGTCTTTTGTGTTATTTGATATTAGATTGTATATTATTATTTTTTTAAATATGTTAAATCGCTATATATTTTCGCGCTCATTAGTAATAAAAAAAAAGTCTGTTGAATTATTTTGATTTAATTGTCTATATTGTATTCACAATGGCTTTTATATTATACAAGACAAAACGATAACTCTCGAGTTGAATTCTTAAACTTGAACGACAAATATAAAAGTACTTAATGAAAATAAACATTAAAAGTTAATTGGAAAAAACTTACTTGACATTGCGACACAAATTTCAGTACATCGGCACGTATAAAATCATTATCTTCTTTCACTGTATCTAATCTGTAAATACAGACATAATTAACAAACAATTTGGATATGTGTCTTAAAAATAATAATAATTTCGAAGTATCTTCCACCTTATTGATAGATACTTACATATCAGGATTTGCTATTTTTTCTACTATAAAATTACATATCTTCTCACATAAGCTCTCATCAAACAATGGAATGCCAAACTGCAGATCGAGGATTGTCCATTTCTAAAAAGAAAACAATTTATATCTTGCTGTCAAGGCCTTTTAGACTCCTAATTTTTTTTTTTTTAAATCAAGGTTTCATGTTTTTTGTATAGGCTCCGAAACTTTTAAACAGCAAATATATTTTTGCGAATTCAGTATTGCTACCATAGTAAAAGTTGTTCAGTACACTTCACTCCTCCACCCTACGAAATCCTAGCACATAATAATTGGCACCATATACATATATATTTGTCAAAAACTACAATTTTCTCGATTTTAAATGCACTGTAAAGATGCTTACCTCTGGTTTACAAGTCTCTTCATCAGAAAAGTTGTGAGCAGTGTCGACACCGCTATCCCCCTCTGCTGTCATCTCTGTCAGTTTATTCGATAGCTGAGTGAACATCGATACAGACTCCTCCGCGGGACTCATCAAATCGTTAAACTGTCCAATCGATTTCTCACTAAAACTGCTCTTTTTACTATCGAACTTTAAATTTTCAATGCTAACAGACGACGAATTTATCGGAACTAAATCATCGGAGCACGTTATAGATTCTTTACTAATAGATTTCGCTACATGCCTTTTGATATCATCCGCTTTTTCCTTTAAATCTTCAATGCTTGTTGATAGAGAATTAATTGGAACTATATCGTCTGAACCAGCTATCGACTCTTTGCTTTGGTGTGAGGTCTTCGTACTGTCTATCACTAGGTTATCTAGTTCTTCACATAATAACTGGCCACATTCAGCGCTTGTGAAGCCATTGGCGGGTGAACTGGCTTTACTGTCTATGGTCGGTGTCACCGCGAAGTGAGACTCTATGGGCGATTGCAACCTCTTTGTGTAATCTGCAGTTGTTTTTTCTGTGGAATCCGTTGATGATAACGATATTTCGCTGACCGGTTTTGCTATACCACAAATTTCTTTCCTTTTCCTCGGTGGAACTAAAATGAATATGAGCATATAGAATGTGTATAAATAAGATGGGTGAAACAAGAATTAACATACTGAATTATAAATAATATGAATTTGACATTTTTATGGTGGTATTATTAAAACTCTATTGTAATCTTTAAAATTGATACCTATCTGTTAAGCTTTTACTTAAATTTCACATTTTCTACCTAAATTCTGGAAAATATTGTAACAATCAATCAATTCTGATGGAATGTCCATAATAATGTATATGTTTCATATCGACTATTCCGATTCAATCTACCTATTCCAAACAATGATAAAGATACAAATAGATATGCTTATTATTATATTTGATCTATTTCTCATTTACAATGCTATACCTACTGGAAAATATTATTAATGAAAAATGCTGAAAAAAATGTCTCTAGTATTCTGAGATGGGATTCTAATGTCTTATATATTAAATAGACCGTAAAGAACCGTTTGTTGTCCTAAATAAATAAAATAAAACAAACTTATGGCCAATCACTTTACATTGAAGTCGCAGTAAATGTATGAATACCTAGTTGTACTGCCGCGGGAGGGTGGGCGCATCCAAGATCAGGCACGCCGATGTCCGCGAGGGTCACGTAACCAATACTACGGTGTAATCTCAGCCTTTGCACTAGTCTTCGAAGGCCCGCGTGACGATTCCATAATGATTGCATCTCTGAACAAACAAAAAATCGTTTTAAGTAATCGATTAGAGTACAGATATTATGAACTCGTCGTCGGCTATTCGTGAGAAAAATTCGGCAGTGATTCTACGGCGGAATGAGATATAGAGATTTATAGTTTTAATTATTTGATGTATTTTGATGTAATATTAAAAGTGGAAAATCAGTCGGCAGACATCTCTCGCAAGCAGAAAAAAAAGACAAAACACAATTGAAAGGATAGAATAAGAAAAAAATAATTTAGAACGTCATTGTAAAAACTACATTTTAATATAAATCACACTTTATAAATATACTACCTTTCCGCCAGCGGTTTCGTTAACCTTCCTCTTGAATGACTCTGTATATTTATGAAAAGCGCATTAAAATCCGTTGTGTAGTTAAAAGCTCTCAGCGTACAGACAGCGGGAGGCTACTTTGTTGTATACAATGTATAGATAAGTTGCGAGATATTTATTAGTAATGGTAATATAAATTCCCGAATCCGAAAGAAATTAGTTGTGGAGGAGGGCAGTTACGTAGATACATACGCGTGTCGCTAGTGTCAGATGTGGGTGGGAACATGAGGTGCACGGGTGTAGTGACCGTTCTGACGGCGGCGGCCTGAAGCATGACGGGCGCGCGGCGGAGAGCGAGGTTGGCGGCGCGCAGGGCTGCGGGGGCGGACAGGGCCGCGCCCCCCTCCAACGTACTATCCGACCCCCACCACCAGACCCACAGGCGGGAGTATCCGAGCAGAGCGCGCGGTACACAACGAAGCACCGTGCCTACATAACAAACGGTAAACGGGTATAACGGCTGTTTCTAAAACCAAAGGATGACTACTCTCAGTATCTGCAAACCTTTAGGAACACAGATCTTCGTATGTTTTCGAAACGCTTTGACGACTTTGCTGAACCATTTTTTTACAACGTAATAGAAGTAATGCGTAGTAGTCTCATGTGGAGTTATGTAAATTATAATGTTTCAAAGTTATCGGTAGTGAAAAATAAATAAGTCACGAAATTGCACAAAAATTAAATTTTACATCATAATATACATAGAGGTACTGATTTTGAGTTTTAAAATCGCACGATTATCTTAATATCATAAGATTAAAAGTCGTGATTTTTTATCTGTTTGTCATGTGACTAGAAATACGATCCGCCATTGTGTAACGACACTGGCGACAACTGTCAAATTAGACGTAAATTATAATTATAATTATAATAGGCTAGTTGACAACTTTTTTTTATTTCATAAATAAATAGTCCATTAACATCTGAGAAATAATGTTGAAGTAACAGCATGTCTGCGATTAATACTTTCGGAGATACGGTGTTGTGTTTGTAGAACTGCTGCTAGTTGGCCGAAAACGGTACCTACAAAATCAAAACACTCAGTGACGTCACATGGTGCTACAGTAGCGAAAAATGTATGGGCGTCTGGAAAATTTTTGTAATATCTTTATTATTTGTGCGTTTATGTTTATAGCTGTTATAATGAAAGTTGTAACATTTTTTATATCTAATTTAATGCCTTATGTATTTTAGCAAATTATTGTAGTAGATTTTCTCTACTTTTTTCAAGTTTTCAAAGCGTAATATTTTCCAAATCAGTGACTTAAAATTTGTTTTGTTAAACATTTATAAGTTAAAATGGTTCATATTTTTCGAAGATATAACAAAAACCTGTATTTTGACTTATAGGACACAAGCCTATTCAAATTCCAATATCGCATTGTTCTTGTTTTATTAATATCTTTCAATCTTCTACTCTATGCATCTGTTTTGTGCACATATCGCAATGAGGTTATGAATATGACGCACAGCATTTTCGCAGGTATAAAATAAAAGTTAAAATATTGATGGCTAGATTTTAAGGCAAGAAAACTTGTTTATTATTCCTTACAAAAATAAACAGATACAAGATTTTTTTGAAACAGAGTAGAATGCCCATTTATTCTGTATATTAGTCGTGTTAAGTGTATGTTACCTTTAGTGAGTAGTATGGTGGGCGGTCCGTATCCGGCCACGTGGTACAGGTATAATCGCATCCAGGGCGTGTGGGACTCTGCGGGCGCGGGGCCCAGGTGGGGCAATGACCCCGCCGCCAGGCCCGCGCGCGCCTCGCGGCATAACGGCGCAGTCGATATCGCTAATCTGTATATCACAAACGGCGTGCGATAAACTATAACACTACACGTACAACTAACATGACACCTGCTGTACACAGGTACATAATTCCGTTCTATTATGTTTTTTTTTTCTATCATGTTTTTATTCTCTGTATAATGTGGTTGTGTGTTGCATTTTGAATAAATGAATTATCCATTTATCTACCTGAGGCCTATTCTATTTCTCCGAAAACGAAATAATCTTGTCCAATTTCCATGCATTGATTGAACTGTCACATGTTATTTTTATTAAGGTGAATTTAAATTAGTTTTTGCTCAAAATATACTACTTTAAAAATTAAGGCATTAAAATCGAAGCCTTTTATAATCAGTGGTCGGAATTAGGTAGAGTTATTCATGTACTTACACTGATTTCATACAGCGAAAGAATAAAGTGGATATGCCTCAAATCCCGAGAATAATTTTAAAGAGCAGAAAAAATCCCGTGATTTTTTAAATAAAAAGTTATTTACTTTTACACAATTTAAACTACTGGCACAACATTGCCAAACTTACATCAATGACATCGGATGTCCAAAGTTGCAAAATACCAATACGCGCGATGTTGCCACGAAGGTTCCACATTAATATCAACATTTCGATGCAAGTACATAAATAACTCTACCTAATTCCGACCAACTCGTAATAATTCAACTCGTAAATATAGAAAAAAACAAAAATGTAATTGTGAATGTGCACTTTGTGACCTTAAGACGAAAGAATATTTTTCCTCGTAGTATATGAAACAAAACGTAGCGAACTATCATTCTGTCCGAATCGCATTGGGGTAGTGTAGCAAACCATCATTTTAGGGTCCGAATCGCATTAAGGTGGTTATCATAGTACTATTTAAAATAATTACCAGTGTCGCAATGTTTATCGTGGCTTTATTCTGAGATTTGATTCCCTGATATGTAATAAGTAGAAAATGAACTATATTTTAAGATATATCACATCACTAGGCGCGTTAGTCAATTTTTAGGTCTTAATTGGACATTATTCTTTCGTCTATTTTCGAAATGGTAATACGACTCTAAAGAAACGCATTTTTCGACCTGACACTGCTTCGGATGCGCAGATAATCTTTAAGGATGTGATTTTAAGAAACTTTTCGTGTTTTCGTTCGAGGACAAATAGAACCGAAACTCAGGTGTCATGTTAATTCATGCCAGTTACAGCTGTTATCAGGAAATTATTTATCCTAGGGCCAAAAGCAAAATAAGTCAAAAGCGATAGGCCACTTAATAATTACACACGAATCAAAATCAAAAAACACAAGATATTATAGCTTGAGTGCCGAGCCCGTGCAGCGCTTCACAGCGCAGCAGATCTAGCGGTCTCAGTTTATCCAGACTAGTTACCTGTACTTGGTGGCTAGCAGACGCGCCCTAGCTTGAGTGCCGAGCGCGTGCAGCGCTTCACAGCGCAGCAGATCTAGCGGCTTTAGTTTAGGCCGCAGCGTCCGCAGCGCTATCCTCAAACAACGTGCCGCTGCTAGATAACGTCGCGCTTCACCTTCTATCTCCGGATCTGCAGCTACCTAAGTCAAAACATTTAATATAATCAACACTTTTTTGAATTTTTTCTAACATGAATAAATCAAAAATAAACTATACACAAAAAAATGTTTACCTTATCTAATTCCATCAATAAACTACCTAAACTTTCATCACAAAGTTTTCCTACTTCAAAAAGTGTAACCGCATGACTTTTGAGATCCTGCAAAACACAAATAATTCACAACATTATAAAGCGACAATAACAAATTTATAAATCCATTTGACTTAATTCATAGCAGTTCAATTAAGATTTATGTAATACAACAAGTGCAAGCAAAACCTAAAACGTCCACTCAGTTGAGTACAGAAGCTTTTTTCTACATACACAACTTAAAGCTACAACTTGAAATCAAAAAGTTTACCGGAGACAAATTCCCCATCATGAGGTACGCAGCTAGAGTAGAGTCGAATAAAACTGCAACTCTTCGACCGCCAACAGTATTGGAATTATCCTTGACGATTTCATCATAATTCTATGAAAAAGGAAAATCATTAGATACTGACACATTTCTTTTTATTTTCTTTAAGGTTTTGTAATGCAGTAGCAAATAGCGATGGGCGTTGAATCAACAGACTAGTTAAATCAACCGTTAACGTAGAATCAACGCGTTGACGGTTGAGTTCTTTGGTTAACTAGTTAAAAAGTCGACGCCTAAACGAAGAATCATCGTCAAAAAGTTCGTCTATCAACATGTTATGAAACTGCAACGCATAACTTTATCATCTGTTTAATACAATGGTATTCGGTTGTTTTACATTCATAAAGATTCTATGTAACTTTGATAGCTGAAATAATATATAAACTCTAAAGTCAACGACAGTAAGTAAATATTTCAACACGCGAGTCTAGTACATAGCAAAGTTAAGGAATAGCAGTCTGACTCTGGTGTTACTATTAAAAAAAATGTCAATCCATAACAACCAAGGAACAATTCGTTTGTTGTAGCCATTATAACATGTACATTTATGATGACACCTGAAAGCCTATTCTGTTACTCCGAAAACGAAATTTCGTCTATTTTCGAAATGGTAATACGTCTTCAAAGAAACGTATTTTTCAATAATTGTTCAATTACAAAAAAAACTTGAATGGTCAAGATAATATCAATGAAACCACCGTTCAAGTGAACAGATACAATTCTATATTCAAAAAGAAACCTTATGATCTACGACTTACGAGTATACATGTTAGCAGAAATCTTAACATCGCTATTCAGAACAGATCAAACAATTACATGTTGAACTAAGGCGACATCTAGTTGTAGTTGAGAATAAACAATACTTATTATTTTTTTATTTCAATAATGTATGATGCAACTGAGCAACAGATACGTTTTTATGAAAATTATAATAGCGATTATTTATTTTCCGAATAAAAGTTCAATAGAGGTGTGATACCATATAATTCCCTCCAAAGATATCATTTGTGTTAACTATTGCCTTAATATTTATCAACTCATGCGCAATAAAGTATATATAATTAGTTTATGGCTTTTCTTATATCCACCTAAAATGGTGTACATTTCAAATGATAAATTAAATTCGCTTTCCATGTGGCGTGGTTAATATTACATTTTCGCGAACATGTAAACTCACAACAAACATAAATACCTAGATAAATAAATCTGAATAAATGAATATCTCACCTGTTTAGATGTAGAAGGCTCCTGTGTAATTAGCACTGGTTCCATTTGTAATACATCATCATCTGTGCTTGGATCATAAGTCAACGGCGTGATTTGTCGGTACCTGTGAAATATGAATTGAGTTTTTAAAGTAGTGGTAAACACCCTTATAATTGTTTTCATGTCGTTTCGCTTTAGCTTTGAGATATTTTAAAACTCCAAAATGAATGTATATACAAGTTTCTAGGTTATCATTCCACATTTCGTGGTTAATACCTTTGTTAATGAATGACTGGACTATTTATCAATCAGCCATCATCTCCACATTAATTTCATTTTTACACATATCCTCTTTCATACATTATATCCATATTTTCTTCGATCTTCCCCTCTCGAAATGTATTTACATTTCTGTCCGCATTGATCATGCTCAATCCTTTTTATTACATATAAATCATCTCTTCTCATCACTGCTAAGATATTGCATCTCATTTTTTTCTTAATTTTAAATACATATTTATATTATAAGAAGGAAGATTTGATTGTTATTATTATATTTAATAAATTCTGCGTTAATTATTTTTTTATTTATGTTATTCTTTATTGAAAAAAAAACATTACAAAAGATGGACTTAATACCTAAGGCATTCTCTATCATGAATGATTATGCAATACTGATAAATATTTTTAATGAGAAATGCTTAAAGAATCCATCAGCCCCAGATAGCCCGAGATGTGATTGTTTCTTTTGTTTGCATTGAATAGGCTCCGAAACTACTAGACCGATTTAAAAAAAAATCACCTACGTGATTGCTTCATTATACATGGATGACATAGGATATAATTTACACCAAAGTTACGGTAAAACAGAACACAAATAAAATCATTGGATACAGTGTTGTGTGTCGAGAACAGACGCTAGTAGAACTTAAGAGGATTCGAATGAGGGTAGAACGATATAACTGCGAATAACATCCACCCGCTAGACTTCAATAATTCCGTGATCATGGAGCTTGCAACAGCGCCGAAATATCGGGGATTCGATAAAAATAAAGTACACGGTAGCAATACCATAAATAACTATTACTCTAATGTTCAGGACTGCTCATAGTTGGTTAAATAAAGGTGTACACTGGGTTGTTATACTTACGGCGGATGTTGCGGATGGGTGTGCGCATGTCGCCAAGATGGATGTAACGTAGCGGGTGGCGGCCTCAGATGATGAGCGAACCCTACTCTACAGTACAACGACACCGCTTGCTTCACCAACTCGCATTCCACCTACACAACAAAACATATTGATCAGTAAAAACATGACCGTGTAATTCTATTAATGTAAGTGGAGGCCTGATGACGTAATACAGGTAATAAATATGCATATATTTAATATGAAGATTTTAGCAAAGATTATAGTTTAAAGAAGATTCTAAACTTCTAATTTTCTAACTTAACAACACTCTCACACCAGAAACTCAATTGGAACAACTGGCTGGTACATAAAATGTTATTCTCTGAAGCGTCTCCCTCACATCTGGGTTTTAGTGGGTCATCCGCCCTTTGGAGGTTGAAAAGCCAATAAAAGTCAAGTTGGTGGGTCCGTGCGGAAAAGAGGTAAATTAGAAAAAAAAAATAGATATATATATATATGAGAATTAAGTACACCCTCAGCTACGGAACTTCTATGCCTTAAAATTTTTAAAACAAAATTAAAAAAGACACTATTTATTACCTACCTACATATTAAAGGAAAACAAATTTATGGTTTTTGTTAGTAGTACAGCGAAAAACGTATTTTTCTCAAGATTGAATCATTTACATATGAATCGGTGCAAAGATTGGAATCAATTAATGTTTCATTTGGATTATCGATTGACTAGATTAAGGAGCAGAGAGCGAGTACTTTATCGTGTTACGAATGTATTAAAAAATTACCAAATGTTTTAAATTGGCCTTTGGTATGGAATGTTCCACCCAGGGCCAATCAAGTTTTAATATCACAAACAATGCATTGAAGTTCTTTGAATAATACTTTATTATTTGTATTTTTTCTCAGAGATATACCAATTACCGTGCAATTAACGACCTTTTAATCTAGTAGTCTTACGGTCAGTTGCAGAAACGTCCATTAGGGTTTAATGACGCCTTTAAGCTCTAATGAATGTCAAATTTGTATGGGTAATGTCGCATTAAACTAACGAAAATTTTAATGGTCGTTCGTGCAACTGGCTGTTAAAGCTGTAAACGCATCGAAATTTACATTCGATATCTCATTCACGCTCAGTTGCACAAACGTCCATTAAGGTTTAGTGACGTCTTTAAGCTCTAATGAATGTTCGGTAATGATGCTTTAAACTTATATCAATTTTAATGGACGTTTGTGCTGCTGGCTGTAAGTCTTATAGGCTAATTTATTATGAGCGTTATTATGAGGCAGTTAGCTATTTTAAACTTACTTTTATCAAGATTTCTATGCTTTGTTATTATTCTAAGGCTAACGACACGCGACTCGATGTCGCCCGAATGATTGGGAACAATCGGTCAGTTCTGCTCATTTCATTCTTTCGTTCATTCGTGTTAGTGAGCGTCACAGAACATATTGATCGACTAATCCACTGATCCATTCGGAGTAAACTTTGAGATTCGGATGGGTGCATCATTTTTCTGAACCGGCTCACTGAGCTGATTCAGTAAAGATTTACACACATCTAGTTTTTATATTTCTACAAAACCCTAGCAGTGTTATTAATACAGAAGGTATAACGTTGGGAGTAATTTAAGCTGAAATTGCATTTAGTATTAGTCAAAATTCATGTCATTAAACAGACTTAGCAAATGTTAACCTAGTACGAGGTTCTACGGGAGTAATAGTTACTCCTAGAAGTAAGTAGGTTTACTTATTCTCTGTATAATATGAATTTAAGACAAATACTAAAATTGCAATTTTAGCGTAAATATACTCTGACACTGAACCTTGTTTATTATCGCATTGTAGGTGAAACATATGCAATATGTTTTACAATACCTGTAATACATTGGCCAATTCCGCTACCGTGGTGTGTTCGTCAATGGACACAAATACTTTGTACAGTAAAGTCTCGAAATAATCGCCAGCAATACGATTCATAACAAAACCTTTGAGCGGCGGCACTGACACTCTGTCTTCCGCTGTTATAGGCACATCCAGGTAAATTAAGCCGCGTCTGAAAACACCTCATATCTATAAATGCCAATTAGCTTATTTACAGTTGAAGAAGATAAAGTTAGTTATAAGGTAGGCAAAGAAATATTAACAGTTTAGTAAAATGTATGAAGAGGTAAACAAGTTAAGTGGCACAAGTACATAGTTACCGGCTATTCTTTTCTAAATAAATATAAATTAAAACCAATCTGTCCCTAGCTTTCAAATATATAACGTCAAACAAAACAAAACAAACCTCGTGGATTATCTTTGATTACTTTGTTTTAGAGAAATAGGGAAGAACAAGATCTGCCGTGACATCTAGTAGTAAATGCAACAAAAAATATATATTTATAAATTTAACTATTATGACGCGAGCGTCTCAAGTAGCGTCCTCCATCAGCATAAGCATTTAAAATATATTAAGATTGTGAGGACACTCTAAAACTATCAATGGCTTGAGAAACGGACGCCGGCGCCTCAAGTAGGACGTAACATAAACAATTAAAATAAGTATGAGGGGACTGTACACTATCAATGTCTTGAGAAAGGGGACGCAGAAGCCTCAAGTAGGACGTAGCAAAAGCAATTAAAATAAGTATGTGAGGTCACTGTATATATTATCGATGTCTTGAAAAGGGGACGCAAACAAAAAATAAACTATAACAAACTGTAACAAATGTTTATGTACGAGGGTGGATTGAAAAGTTCGCGGCGCCAGCAAGAAAACAATATAAAATATAAGCAAAAGTAATTTTATTTTTCCACGTAATCTCCACTTAACTCTATGCACTTCTTCCATCTGGTTTCCAACGCCTGTATGCCGGTTACAAAAAAGTTTTTGACCTCCAAGGTGTTTTAGGTTTGGGAATAAATGAAAGTCTGAAGGTGCCAAATCAGGGGAATAGGCGGGATGGGGCAGTAATTCAAAGCCACAATCACGAATTTGAGCCATAGATTCAACAGACGTGTGAACTCATGCGTTATCCTGATGGAACAACACTTTCTTGCTGAGTAATCCTGACTTTTTCTCTTTGTTTCGCGCAAGCGACGTAAGAAGGTGCAGTAATAAGCCGAGTTTATAGTTTCACCTTTTGCAAGGTAGTCCACCATGATGACACCCATGATAGCATCCCAAAAAACTGACGCAGCTGACAAAATTGTTTTAGCTTTTTAGAGTCGGTTCATCACGTTTTTTCCACTGCTTGGATTGCTGTTTTGATTCTGGGTTGTAGTGGTGTACCCAAGTTTCATCCATTGTTACAAATCTGGATAAAAAATCTTGTGGATCAGCCTCAAACATTTCCAAACAGTCGCGAGAAATCGTGAAGCGTATTCGTTTTTGTTCGACTGAAAGCAATCTGGGTACCCACCACGCAGAAACCTTAGAAAATCCAAGTTCATTGAATATGATGTTTTGTGTTCGTTCATACGAGATGCCAATAGTGTCTGCAATCTAAGATGGTCAATCTCCGATCTGTCAATATCAGATCACAGATTTTCCCGATGTTTTATTCATTCGTAGACGTCATAGGCCGGCCAGAAAGAGGGTCATCTTCAATACTCTCTCGTCCGCGTTTAAATTCAGCAACCCACTTTTTCACAGTCGTATACGACATATCTTCATGAATCTCTTTTAGAGTTAGTTTTTTTTAAACAGGTATTTGATGACAGCACGTTGCTCAATTTTCTCCATTCTTTAAAAATGCTGCACAAAGGCTCACAAAATTCAGTCTAATTTATATACATTTTACAATTTCACAACCAGAGAGTAAACTAATCGAATGAGGTCAGGTAAATTAAAATAGTCTAAGTATTTATGTGTTAGGCCCCGAACTTTCAATCCACCCTCATACATTTAGACTCCTTAAACTAACTTTACGATACATATACCAATTCCCTCTACCTGGAAGAATCTCGATTTTTCAAATATTATTTGGTATAACAGGCTTCTTTAAGAAATAAATAATATTCATAAGGTATAAAAAATATATAAAGCATAAATTATCAAATGGCAAAATGCTTGTATGTTCGAATTCATAAAGGCGTAGTACATATTAAGTTCGATGGCAGGATTTGTTTTGGCATATTTTTTTTACATTTATCATTAAAAATTACCATAATTATTCTGACTTTCTATATCATGAGTTTGAAATGTATGTTATATGAGAGAATCTATGCCAAATAACTTTCTGCGAAAAGTTCTAATATAAAGGGTGAATCCCCATTCCAACATGTATTTGCATATGTTTGATTGCAAATCAAATACCAATTTGATTTTGATTGAAAATCAAATAAAAAATCACGAATAATAATTTATTAGAAAATAGCATCATTAGACTTAATAACTTTTAAAAAGTATTTTAACTAGCCTCAAGATATAAACTTTAATAGCAAAAATAATCAAATTAATAGATTTCAAACGACTATGTATGATAATTAAAATCATTTGCCTATCTCATATTATGAATACAACATAATAAGAGATATATTCTCACCTGTACAACGTCTTAACGACATTATAATCGAGAGTTCCGGCTGTTTGAGAGCCGCGGTCGATTAGCAAGTCAATAAGTGCCTTCTCGCTCTCACTCAAAGGCTAGAAACATGGTTAAATACAAACTAAGTTAATCAAAGAGTGTTAGGGTAATTGTTAATCTATGATCCGCCGCCATTTTTTAAATCAAAAGTCTTTGTTTGAATCAATAGAGACAATGATACAAATATTTTAGAGGTAAAGTTGCTAAGTTTGTTTGTTATCTTGAAATTCTTTCCAATATAAAGGATAATAGATTTTAAAATCAGACAATCAGGTCCCAAAATTTAAATAGGAAATATGCATCTGATACCAAAAAGGGTTGAAATATTTTATTACGATTATTATTGCATTAGAAAAATGCGTATGTAAATATTTTTTAACATTACTTCGTTTCCATGCTCGTAGTTATTACCAGAGGTCGGAATTAGGTAGAGTTATTTATGTACTTGCATCGAAATGTTGATATTAATATGGACCTTCCCGGGATTTCTTCTTTCTTTATTTCTTTTTTTCATTGATGTAAGTTTGGCAACATCGTGCGTGCAGTAGTTTAAATTGTGTAAAAGTAAATAACTTTTTATTTAAAAATCACGGGTTTTTTTCTGCTCTTTAAAATTAATCTCGGGATTTGAGGCATATCCACTTTATTCTTTCGCTGTATGAAATCAGTGTAAGTACATGAATAACTCTACCTAGGGTATGTTCCGATATACACTGCGACCACTGAACAGTATGACGTCAATTTAGTATACTGGAAGCCCGTTCCTTTATAGCTAGTTATACTGGTGACTTTTTAAAACGGAACGCAGTCCAGTATACTGTTAATCCTATTTTTGGCGCCATTTTCAAATTTGTTAATGCAAGGTGAATATAAATATAAAGATTCCCTCTTTTCAAAAGAAAATATTATAAAATTGGAAAATTGTATAAAAAAATTATTTATCAATCAAATCCATCTTATAATAAACGTAAGTATTTTATTTTATCTGTTTCGACTGATCACGTGGTCAAAAGCACTGCGAGCACTGCACCTCGAAATCTCCAGTGCTCACAGTACAAATATGGCGGCAATTCATGACGTCATAAATTTCCCTACGGTACTGTAGCAGTATACTGGCAGTCCATAACGGAACGGATTTTTCAGCAGTAAGACCACTGCGCAGTGCTCGCAGTGTATATCGGAACATACCCCTAATTCCGACCACTGGTTATTACTCATTTTCATAATTTATTTTTTACTGAATTTTGTTGTATAACGATATAAATTACTAGATTCCTCACGCTACACCACTATCTTTAAGATCTCAGATTCGATTCCCCTACAGTCTTCAATTAAATCAAAATGTTCTCTACATTCAATACTGTTTTTGACATGACTTGACATGGCCAAGTATTGAATGTAGAGTGCGTTTTGAATAAATCGAATGTCAAAAAATCGATTAGGCATTAGTTGCACTGAGGGCCTGCAAGTTAATATTATACTTTATTAGAATTATACTTTCAGTGGCTTATTGTGTGAGATACCATAATACAAGAAATGAAGCTACTTTATCTGAGAGTTGAGCAACACATAAAGTTAAATTGACATCAGCTATTGATTCAGACAATTTTATAATATGGATAATCTTTTTTTTAAATGGGCAGCTCATTAAGATTGGTAGCTGTTTAAGTAGAAAATCACAACAAAGTTCAACTCCAAGAGAAGTGCATATTTAGTTAACTAGACTAGACTACGACAAGCTTTGTTCATCATATCATAAACAAACAAAATTTAATAGTTCTTGTTATTATAATTCCGTATTAAATTTGTTAATAATTCTGAAACAAATAGTAAACTCAACCTCACCTCAATTACTATAAAATATATTAACAATTAAATTTTATCTTATATACTATAGTTAATACTTAATTCTACACACAAGACCTACAAATTCTATGTATTATGTCAAGCTTAATACATAATTTTTGACTCCTTCCTTGTCTTGGTCACATTTTAAGATACCTCCACCCCTTGCCTCTTATAGTCCTTATAGTTATGTGATTTATTAAAATTATTTTCTAAAAGAATCAACCAGAAATCAAACATTTTTTGAATTGAAATATGTAGTGGAAATTTTATGATTTTATTTGAACTTCAATTAGTCACAAAATTTAGAACCCCATGTCACACAATGTCATACTTTGTCAACCCCTTATTTTAATAGCCATAAGTTGTAAAATATATATGTAGGACACCTTGTCACAATAGCACTTCTTCAACTCCTCAAGTAACCTCCACCAAATGTGATAGAGACAGAAATTTGGTGCATTAATAATTTACAGTCACACATTCAGAATGTCCTCCATTCTGAAAATTGAGGTTGCCGAGTCATTCTAATCGGCCAGGATCAACCTTCTGCAGTTGGAGCATATTAGTTACGTTTTACTGTACAATACGATGAGCAAAGCCATACCTTAACATCCTCTTCAAGCACATAGCCAAGTTCTACCCGCCACCATGGTTGCATGGGTATATTCATAGGTACTTTGGGCAAAAGCCCTCTAATCGCTTTAGAACGACCACGACGACCCAAAGACCTGGATTTGGCGACTAGCTCCAAATATTCATTACGACCTATACCCAGCAATCGAAGACCTGAAAATGATTATTCATCAGCCTATCGGCCAACCATCAAACCATGCTATAGAAAGAGAAGAAATAGGGCTTTAGCCTACTATGCAAGCCCAGTATGGCTTTTTGAATGCTAACAACTTCAGGACCAAAGATTTATGGTTTGAAGCATAAAGGGGCTTGAGACTATAAATTTCTGGTCACCCATATGCACCAATGAGAGCCTTTATTTCTTATCATAACATATTTCTTTTAGGTGTGCAAACTATTAAAGCGAGTTTGGAACAGGCAATTATTATACATACTTAGATTAACATTGAAATTCTATTTAGATCTGAAATTCGTTTCAAGATCAAACAAGACTGAATCAATGGCAAAATAAAATGTGCAAAAAAATTGATGGATGTTATTTCACCCTTATGTTACTTACAGTCTGCAGCTGTGAAATTAGGCATGGTGTCATAACTTTTTTCCATCTCAATCAGCAAAGCTACAACTTCCACATAGTATATGAAAGGAGTTATCCTTAAACCTGAAATTTTACATTAACAGAGAATATTTATGGTAATCCACCTTTAAAGTTGAACTTGGTATTTAAATGAGTTTGAAGAGATATTTTTAATACATACATATCTTTCTTTTAATGAATCTATTTGATGAATAAGATTATTTACTAGTGGCTCCAAGTTTGATTTAAAAAATACACACAGCAGCACATCAGGTTACTACAACATATCAAATTTCTACAAATGATTTAGAAATCTACACTAAATCCATTAAGGTTTAAAATGAAGCAGACAAATTTGTCAACTTTGCATAAACCATAAAGTATAATATAGTCAAAATAATAAAGTATAATGTAAACACCTTTAACAATCATATCTGCTAAATGATAGGGGTATAGCATAAGCCTTTGTATACTGCACTGAACAAGAGTTTCATAATACTTCTTTTCATCTTTACGTACTGTCCTCACTGAAAATAAAATAGGTTCATAAGTTTACTTTAAAATATATGATATAAGTCATTCAGTACACAACAATCCTTTATTTGCAGTCAAACCCGTTGAAGATATCAACACCAAAATCTCATCTCAATATGTTAAGAAATTTAAATGAAAACTAAATTATAAAAGAAAAAATTATGTTTTTTTTTCTGCAGTTTAAAGGCTAATACAGCCTCTTACAAGAAATATATTGTTCTTAGGGCTGGCATATATTTGAAAACATACATATGAGACTTTAACACTAGTGAGATAGAGATTATACAGGCTGGCTTTGTTGAAGATTGATTTTCAAAAACAGTCATGTGCAAAAACTCAAAGCTTTAATTGTTATTTTTTCATATTGTGTTATACATATATAGGTAATTGGAATCAGCAAATTGCATTGATATTGAATTAAGCCATAAAATCCATATAAATAAAATATAAAATAACACTATTGTGATTATATTTATTCTTGCTAAGTTGTAAACTGCAATAATTATTGTCATAATTCCCCAATTTCTACAAAACAAGCCTTCCTAGTAAACATAATCAAATAGGGAATAAAAGAATATATAGATATTAATAAACACTAATATTTATAAATACTTATGCTTACCCAAACTCCCTCTAAACCTCAATTGATTCTTAATACTAAATTCAAATATATATCTCTCATACTCTTTAGGAGAATCACCAAGTAGCTGAAAGAAACCATTTTATAAAATAATAATAACAATTAAATACTACTTATAATAAATGGAAACTACTCAGGTTCTTGAACTATATAATATTACTATTATCAAATTTTAATAAGTTTTAATTTATTAGTGCTGTCATTCACATTCAAGTAAAAAGAAAAATATATGTCACTAATTTTGAGCTATAAAACATGGTGTAATAATAGTTTTTGTCAAAAGAACGCATACAACAAAGATTTTTTTGTGATTATTTTAAGAATATCTTCATTGCTCGACTAAATAAAATTTAAAAGCTTATTATTGTAAACATAAGTACTTTAGATTTAAACAAAATTATATTGATAAAAATACTATATTGAAGTGAGAATTGGAGCAATACAGGCAGGTCATAAACAAAATTTAACAATATGCAGAATAAGTTTACATTTGGATTTCATGTAGGAAATAGAGAATAAAATGTTTACACGACAGTACCTTTTTGACTGTAGCTGGCAACTGGGGCCATTGAATCTTTTTTCGAATACAATCCTCAATTTCATCCTCCATGATGTTGAATTTATCATGCAATAGGACTACATTAAAATTATCATCGAGTGATAATGGGTTTAAACAGGCTTAGAATGTGCATAAAATTCACAAGCTATTATTTATATGTTATGGCTTAAATCGAAACAATAGGCCAATCTAAACTTTTAAATATTTTGAGATATAGCAAAAATCCTACATTTGGAAAAAACACAAACAGACGAATTTTTTGATTGATAAAGCTATCAACCAATCGAAAAAGAGATTTTATATCGTTTTTAGGAATACGATAAGAGTATCGATTCAATGAGGTATCGATACTTTTGTTTTTTTGGAAATTATATTTTAGTTTTGATACTTATGATGTATCGATACTATCGATCTCTCTCACCATTTCTATTATAATTTTAGTTTAAGAAGAAAAAAATATATTTAAACAAAATGTTCACACTATCACAAAAGTAGCAGGGATGTTCGTTATTTAGCTGAAAACTATCGATATTTTAACTTTGATAACATCGACATACCTAATTATCGAATCGATACGCATGTTACGTGAATGAAGAAGTAGGCATTTAAAAAATAAAAATTAATTCTTGAAATCAAACTAGTTACTAATATCGAAATCAATTCATTCTACTGTTACAAAGTACTTGCGAAAGTCGAAAACTATGTCATCGGTTCGCAAAGCTACGGCGGGAAACTATGTACTGAGAAAAACCGGCAAGAAACTAAACAAGGGCTGTATTTTTCCCCTGTTACTAAAAAACAGAGAAGTCTTATTGGAATGTGACTTAAATTAGACTATAAAGTCATTTTCCATTACAATATCAGAAATATCAAGACACATATTTTTCGATTGTTGATTGCCGAGTCTAGGGAATATATAATATTCATAATAAAAGAAAATGGACGAAATTAAGACTCATCCCACTGGTTTCGAAAGGACGATTTATTTGCACGTTATAATTTGCACAAAGGTAGACAGATTTCATGTTATTTTGCACTAGTATATTTGACACATATCGAGTAACTATATAGATAGATAATAAACTGCTTTTCTGATAATTATCATACATGACCTTTGCTACTTAATATACCCTATTCATTAATTCACCACAATATAAAAACATTATTGAGACTTGATGTAGTTTTGTTGTTGTAAGTTCAACCCACAACTAAGAGCAACAAAAGTAATTTACCTAGTTGTTCTTGTTTTCCGAACTTTTGTAAAATATTATAATCTAAAATGCCTAGACCTGCTGTGGCATAAGTGATGGCTTGTAATAATAATTTATTTTCTTGCTACATTGCAGTTTACATGCATCATAAAATTTTTGTGTTAGAAAAATGATAACAGTCCATCCTAATGGCTGTTTGTTATGAAACAAGAATAAATAAACTAAAAGATGGTAAATTAAATTTAATAATTTATTTACAATAAATAAAAAAAAAAACAAAAGGGACGAGGTGACTGGTGAGGTGAGTAGTGAAGTAGTGAGAATGAGCGTCAGTGTAGGTGATCTGGTGAAGGGGCGTGGGTCAGCGGTGAAGTTCCGTTCCGTCAGCGTAGAAATAGCCGTCGTCAGCGTAGAGTTTGGCAAGCGAAACGTGACACCACCTATTTTTCCGTTTTCATATGGCAACAACATAGAACTGTCAGTTTGACACTACGTTAGACAATTCAAGAATATTGAATTTTGTTGTTTTTGCGAATTTGAACTTGTGTTTTTGGTTAAAAATTATGTCGAAGCCGATAAAAAGTTCATCGAGGAAACTTCTTTCCATCATGATTGACAAGTTTACTGAAGTGAAAACTGAATTAAATAAAAATTTCATGGAGAAATTACAACGATTAGATAAAGTTGTATCTTTTTTAGGTTAGTTTTGTATTATAATTTTGATACTTTCGTTTTAATTTTCTGTAATTAACTAAACAGATATTTTTTATAAAATATTGCTCTATTTCAGATAACTGTGATGGTGATATTCAACCAATAATGGAGGAGATAAATGCAATAAAAACTTTAGAAAAACAAGAAATGCTGAATTCGGAAACGCTGTGGCGACTGATACATAGCGACATCTAATTCATCGCAGTAACATCGCCACAACAATCGATAGCGAGAAGACTAGCATCGTCACAGCCATCGATAGCAAGACGAACTGCAATAAGTTTCAACAGCAAGTAACGAGATGGCGCTGTACCAATACAAGCAACATAAATTAATAACTACAAGACATTTAGAACAAAGAAACCTACATCGCACAGAATAAGTTTCATTACCAATTAACATAAATAGAACGTCCAACCTACTTCGGTTGGACCGCGGTCCCCGGGCTAACAACACCTAGCTCGGAGGGAGACATTTATCCTTTAGTCTCCCTGGCCAGTTGTTTCCATCGCCACAATAGGGACTCCAACCTCCAACCTTACGGTCCTAAAGTGGTGACCCCAGCAGAACATCAGCAACCTTCAACATCAGCAACCTTCAACATCAGCAACCTTCAACATCAGCAACCTTCAGCATCAGCAACCTTCAGCATCAGCAACCTTCAGCATCAGCAACCTTCAGCATCAGCAACCTTCAGCATCACAACGCAGCCATCACCCTTCACCATCAGCCTCTCATCCCTCACCAGTACAGCCACTTCAGCAGCAAGCCAGCCAACACCAAGGTCCATCACAGCAGCATCAACGGCGCTTCCTGGATACTTGGCACCACTTGACGGCATCACTCCGACCTGGTCCTCGCAGCCCACGATCGGACCTCAGTTCACACACAACTCACCGGCGTGGCAGCCCTGCACACCAGCAGCTTCGGTCCCGACGTCACAACCATGACACTTGCAAGCTCTGAAGCACTGACTACATACCACCTACTATCAACATGGATCGACCTTCGGTCTAGGGGGAAAGTACTGTGGCGACTGATACATAGCGACATCTAATTCATCGCAGTAACATCGCCACAACAATCGATAGCGAGAAGACTAGCATCGTCACAGCCATCGATAGCAAGACGAACTGCAATAAGTTTCAACAGCAAGTAACGAGATGGCGCTGTACCAATACAAGCAACATAAATTAATAACTACAAGACATTTAGAACAAAGAAACCTACATCGCACAGAATAAGTTTCATTACCAATTAACATAAATAGAACGTCCAACCTACTTCGGTTGGACCGCGGTCCCCGGGCTAACAACACCTAGCTCGGAGGGAGACATTTATCCTTTAGTCTCCCAGACATTTATCCTTTAGTCTCCCTGGCCAGTTGTCTCCATCACCACATTAGGGACCCAACCTTCAACCTTACGGTTCCTAAAACGCAGTTCTTACAAAAAATTTCTTCAATGACAGGTCTCTTTTCTTGTTTTGATTTAAGATAGATTGATAGTATTCCTATAATATTTACATAGGTTTTTTATGATGTATTGGTTTTTATTGTTGACATCCAATGATGTCATAAGAATGTTTTGTTTAACAAGGAAATTCACAGAATTCATGAAACTAATCAAACCATGTAATTGTTATACATGCTAAATATGCACATAAACTTAACTAAATTAAACATAAATTGCATTCATAGTTGAATAGGTATTTAAATTATTTTGATGTATGTGTCTATCATTATTTGCTTTTAAATACATTTAACATATCTTTGTTTCAAAGTGTTTAATCCTATTAATATTATAAAGGCGAAAGTTTGTAAGTATGGATGTATGGATGTTTGTTACTCTTTCACGAAAAAACTACTGGACGGATTTGGATAAAACTTTACAGCAATATAGGTTATACATCAGAATAACACATAGGGTACTTTTTACTGGGAAAACTTCTCACTCCCACGGGATACCGACTTCCACGCGGACGAAGTCGCGGGCGTCCACTAGTCTTTTATAGATGTAAGTATAAGGACACTAAGAAGGATAAAAAATGAAGCATTAATTAATAAAGGAAAATGGGACACTCCTGGGAAAAAACGACCTCATCAACCAACAGTGTCTGCTTTAGATAATTTTGATTTAAGTGCAATTCGGAATAAAGTAAATGAATTTTACTGTGTGAAAAAAATTGTTCCAACATTAAGAAGCCTTCACAATGAATTAAAAGATGCAATAGGATTCAGTGGTAGCCGTGAGACTTTACGAAAAATTATGCTTAAGAATGGATTTTCTTTTAAAAGCAATGAAAATGAACGTTCTATGCTTATAGAAAAATACCAGATTTCTGCATGGAGGCACAAGTATTTGAGAGAAATAAATATAAAACGAAACGAAGGAAAGCAAATTGTGTACCTTGATGAAACTTATGTACATCAGAATTATAAAGTTAAAAAGTCTTGGCAAGGACCTTCAACAACTGGTGTCACTACAAAGATATCCTCTGGAAAACGGCATATTGTTGTACATGCTGGATCTGAGGAAGGTTTTGTGCCTGGTGCATTATTAGTGTTCAGTAGTAAATCCAAATCTGCTGATTATCATGATGATATGAACTCATTGAACTTTATGAAATGGGTCAGAGAAAAATTAATACCAAATTTAAGTAAGCCCAGTGTAATTGTTATGGATAATGCCAGCTACCATATAAAACAAATCAATAAACCGCCTATAATGTCTAATACCAAAGCAGATATCCGTAAATGGCTTGTAAATAATGGAATACATTTTGAGGAATATCAGACAAAGGCAGAGTTAATGTGTTTGGTTAATGATAAGAAAACATTGCCTGTATATGAAGCTGAAGAGATTTTAAAAGAACATAATCATGAACTTTTATTGCTGCCACCGTATCATTGTGACTTAAACCCAATAGAGATGGTTTGGAGTCAAGCAAAAAGAAAAATTGCAAGCAGAAACATTGGAATACGGAAAGGAAATGGAAAACTTAATAATAGAGTGTTTTAACTTAATTACCCCTAGTGACTGGAAGAAATACACTGATCATGTTTTAAATGTCGAAAATGATTACAAATTAAAAGATGGCATTGTTGAAAACGAACTTGAAAAATTTATT